TAGAGACGTTTAGCAAGTCCGAAATGTCAGAATTTTCGAGACTCTCTACTTCCTTCGATTTGATTGGAGTCTGAAGTCAGAAGTCTGACGAATTCCAGTTTAGCAAGTATACAAGCTGTAGAATACAGACTTGGCCACGTAATCGAATGCATGACATTTACAAATATGCACCCTCAGCAGCACGGCTTCCTCCAACGCTCTCACATGTCGCTCCGTCTCAAGCTCGCCCTGTTGCGTCGTAGTCCCCCAACCTCCCAGTTAACCATACCCAATGTGACATTCACTTTGGACTCGTACTCCGATGCCGATTGTGTTGAGAAGTTTCGGTTTTCGAATGCGACGCTAAGGTACCTAGTCGTCTTTCTACGTATCCCTCACCGCATCACCACCGTCGAGCGAACTGCCTGCACTGGTGTCGAAGCTTTGTGTATCCTGCTGCGCCGCTTTGCTGTTCCTGACCGCTGGTCTGATTTGATGGCGATGTTTGGGCGATCACGAAGTGGACTGTGCAACATTTTCCTCCATGTTTTGGACCATATATACGCGCAATTTGCCGAGGTCATATTTTTGGACCGTGATCGCATCAGCAACCAGCTCGAGGCACTTAGCCAAGCAGTCGCAAATAAAGGGGGCGAAGTTCAAAACGTATGGGCATTTATTGATGGAACGGTGCGTGAGTGCTGCCGACCAGACGGTGATGAGCGCCAGCGGACCGTATTTAACGGTCATAAAAGGCGCCATGCTGTCAAGTATCAGACGTTGGTGACTCCCGATGGGATTATATCCCATGCATTTGGACCGATTGAAGGCCGACGACATGACCTTACAATCCTACGGCAGTCGAAATTGGAGAGTGTAATTGCTGCCGACACACGGTTTCGTGGTTTTGTGATTTATGGCGATCCTGCCTATGGCTACTCGGACCAACTCGCCTCTCCATTTGGCGGTGCTCGTTTGACTGCTGCCCAGCGCGAAGTCAACAAAAGCATTAGTCGTGTTCGAATAAGTGTTGAGTGGTCGTTTGGGCAAGTACTACAATACTGGCCTATTGTCGACTTCAAAAAGAAGTCGCGCATTGGGAACAGTCCGATTGCCAAGATGTATAAGGTCGCAGTACTTTTGACCAACTGCATCACATGTGATCGAGGACGAAACACTAACAGCGCCTACTTTGGACTACCCCCGCCAACTTTAGAGGAATATTTGCATGTCAACATGTAAACAAAAATAATGAAAATTAATTTGATTTTTCCGCAACGACTTGGATCAACTTTCCCATCTCTAACAAGAGTCGTTCTAATTGCTCGTTTCGCTTGGCACCTTCGGCCATTTGAGCCAGCCGTAGCTTTTGTTCTTCATTTTCGTACTCGAGTCGCTCCATTCTATACGTATGGTCGTCAGTATGCTTTTGTTTCTCAACTTCGAGAAGATCTTGAATATCCTGGTCTTCTTTCTTCGGCGTCGGACCCACACTTCGCTGTCTCTTGGCCACCCGCTGCTCGGCCTCCACGCACAGCTGTGAGCCCGTGGACTCCAACGAATCGCGACGCTTTTGCTCCTTGTCTTTCTTCGTCTTCTTGACTTCGTCCTTCACAGCTCTGCGATCAACGATGTCTTGCAGGATCTGCACCTGCTCGGTGACCTCTTCTTCGCTGCCTGTGCCGAACATGCGCTGTGCCTTGTCTGTGACCTTGAATCCTTCAAGCATGACTTCGAAGTGGTCGCGGGCCGATCGGTAGGGTATGGTGCACTCGAAACAAGAGGACAGTTTTGAGGCGATGGTCTTCCAACGCACTGTCAGCGTGCCGTACTCTCCGTCGTATGGCTCGACTCGGAGTACCTCACGCAGCAAGGCAAGGTCCATCTCCGACGACCAAGCAATCTGCTTGTGCATGGGCTTGCCCATCGTCAATCAAAATCGTCTGTGGCAGGTTCCACAACGTGCCACAGACGATTTTGATTGGCCCAGGAGAAGTCTGTACACCCTGCAGACTTCAGACTCAAAAACCTGTAGTCTTCGTCACTTTTCAGGCTCGATTTCCAGTGAAGTCTGCAATCTTCGAAATTCGAAACGAAGTTCAAGTCTGCAATCCTCAATTTTCAGACTTGCTAAAAGTCTATTCAACGCTACTTTCTATTCTCCAAAACATCGATACTCTCACGAAAGATCGTGCATTTTGGCTGTTTTGCAGCATATTGGGTACTAACACCTACGTAGTACTTCGAACTGTATTGGGCATCAACGGCCCGAGTATGGTTTATGTACGTAAAGTGGCCGCCGCGACAAGTATATCCGACAACTATCTGAATGGTTAGGAGTAAAAACCCTGAGCTTTTATCGACGGATGTCTCTTCGATTTCAATACAACGACCAAGTGACGTATCTACGTTTTTCAGAGAGCATCGAAGTACAGGGACTCACAGAGGTCGACGGCACCGAGGGGGCCAGTGATTAGGTTTACTAAAAAAAATGCATTTGAGAGTATTACAAAACAGGGTTTTCCAAAACGAAACAAATCCACTATATTTACACGTATTCATTTGTGGAGGCATAAGGTTTCTACGAGGTTTGGTGAATTACTACTCTGAATCACTCGAACTGCTGCCATCCGACGACTCATCCGACGATGAACCTTCGTCTTCATTCTCCTCACGCCTGAGCAGCAATTGATGCATGTCTTGTAGAAGTTTGTCGCAGTGTAGGACGCAGTTCCAAATCACTGCGGGCGGCAGCGCATCGAACGCCACGGCCAAACGCGACTGGACATCGTCAAACGTCGTATCAACGGTATACTGGACACCAACATCCCCTATCACTTTTGACCACACCATTTCGATAGGCTGAAGATCTGAGTTATGCGGCGGCGTGGACACGACATCCTGTCCTCGCGACCGCGCCATTGTGACAACGACCGGACGGACCTTCGCAGCCACGACAGGTTTGAGCCGAGCCCATATCGTCTTGTTCAAGTCGACGCTTTCGACGTCAACGTTGAACCGCTGACATGCTGTCAACAGGTCGGCCTTACGCCACGTGCCTCGCAGCGTATCCGCAGGCTGTCCCTTGTGGTACTTGGCATTGTCCATGACAAAGGTAACGCCTTTTTTCCCGAGTTTCTCGACTTCATCCTTATACTTCCCAAACCACTTGACAAAGTAGGCATAGACAAACATCCCGTGGTAGTCTTTGGGACCGCTTCGTGGCTTCGCGCCGCCTTGGAAGACGTCCAAGCCGACAAGCGACGAGTCCTCGGGTTGAGCGCCGGCCATGATACCAGCGATAAAGCAAAGGCGGCGACCCTAGTGTTTATCTTTCATCGGTCCATTATCAGTAGGATCGTACAGACTGTCGTGGTGATGTGCGTAATGATGATATATGTAGCTCTCGTCGAGGTTCCAGGGGCCAGTTTTGTCATGTGCTCAATGTACAAGTCACGGGCCGTAGCGTGGGCCTTTGGCACGGCATAAGTAGTGTGACCGCGCCGCTTTCCGCGCAGGAACCCCAGCTTTTGCAAGTATTTTTGAACACGACGGAGACAGTTTGACACGTCGGTTTTGTTTGTAACGTCACAGTAAAGTACACTGTGCTCCAGGAGTAGAGCCATGACATCCTTCGCAACTGTACGAGCTCGGGTCATGCTCCGGGTACGAATGAATTGGCGCACAAGTGACATCACTGCATTAGTTTGTGGGATGCGTGCGCCTCGTTGGTGATTGTTGGTAGGAGGGGGTACAACGTGCACGGCTTTGGTGCGAAGGTAGTCAGACCAGACATTCTTCACCACCTTTTCACTCCGTCCAAGGAGCTGAGCGATGGTAGCGGAGACTTTGGTTGCGCCAGTACGGCGGAATTCAGCGTGAAGACGGAGAATATCAAGACGTTCTTCTTTTGTTAAACTTCTTGGTCGTTGCTGGTGATTGTAGCTGGCTATCTCGTCGTAGGCATCGTCGGAGATGGCGTTGGTTGCAGGCATGTCAAGCAGGTGTACGAATGGCTGTGGCAAGGCATTAATTTCAAAGGTATCACTTCACACAGTCCAATAAAAAACGTACACCTCTCGAAAATTAATTAAAGTTTGAGAGGTTATACGTTATTGTTGTGTAAATGTGACTGTTTATGGTCCATTTCCGCAACATTTCTTACAGGGTATTTCTTTTCACGCATGGTATCCAATGGACTTTATTCTTTTCACAATGAAACCATTTCACACACAAAATTTCAGGCAAAATGGTCAGGTAGCTCAAAAGAAAAGTTCTTTTGTCCCCTCGGTGCCGTCGACCACTGTCAGTACTGTATAGGAGCGTGGTCTCCGAATTTTTGCCCCTGCTTTAAAGCATTCATGCGAGAATACAGGTCAATAGCCCTCATCGGTCCTTGCAGAAGCTCAGCGACAAGGACAAGGAGCATCGTGCAGGCTTCACGACGTTGCTGTGGAGAAGAGTAGACATCCAGCCACATAGGGTTCATACAACAATTCTATGAATGATTGAAATGTCTTTCAAAAAAAACGCACGACTCGGTGTGGGTGGCGCGGTGGCGGACATCCCATTCAAATTCGATGATAAACCCTCTAAAACTTAATGATATCCAAATCATCATTATTTCAGAGTTATCACGTTCTAAAGGTGTATGATATAAGGAAACTTTAGCCTTGAACAAGGGTAACGTGACCGATCAGTGATCCGCCAAAATTTGGATTTTTTCCTTCTTGAATTACTCAGCGGCTATTTGTGCTAGAACAAAGATGGACACACATTCTGATAGCCAATTTCAAGTGCTTTCACAAGGATTCAAAACCGATCGGATCTGACAGTTCATGTTTCTCCAATTAATTTAGAAAGTTGAGCAATTTACACAGTCGATCA